AAGATGATGAGAATGACAGTGACGCTAATAATAAAGGCACTTTGGAGAGGCTTACTGAGTGTGAGGCACGGCACTCAGCACCACAGGTGGATGGGCTCATTCCTTTTCATCTGCACAGACTTCTAACAGGGAAGCACTAGTATGATCCTATTTGATAAGAGAGGAAACTGAGACTTAGGGGAGCTGAGTGACGGCTGTGACTTTACACAGGCAGTCAGGAGGGGGCTCGATTCATCACCAAGCTGCCTGACTCAGACCAAGCTATGCCATTGTGCATTCTTTATCTCATATTTTGAAATTAAGAATGATGCTTCATTAACTAAGATGGACCCTCTGTGAGAATCAGAAAAAAATTTGCTCTTCCCCACTGGGGTTATTAAAATCCCCATTATGGAATAGATGGCCCTTGCTTTTTAGTGAAATCTGCATAGGCTACCTCAGTATTTCTAGTCACTTTTTGGTGCTAAAATCCCATGGTCACTCTCAGGCATAATGACTGCCAGGCCTGCCTAGTACTCATAGAGGATGTTTGGGAATAGAGCATGAAGAAGAACTCATGTGTGGACAATCCACTGAAAGGAGGAACCAATCCAAACAACAATCAAAGATGCTTCTTTTCACCCCAAGTATTTATCATAGCTTTCATCTACAGTCTCATGTCAGAAAACACAATGATCAATCTGATGAATAAGATGGAAGAAGCAATATTGTTATTAGATATGATAGCGTTGTTTATTTAATAAGCTAAACAGAAAATAACCGGGAAATTACTGCAACTGATAAGGGGTCAATTTTCTGAACATTGCTTAAATGCATACATTATACATAACACCACATTTTATTGAATTAAGATCACATGTCCTGTGGGGCTGGCCCCGTGGCCGAGTGGTTGGGTTTGCGTGCTCCGCTGTTGGCGGCCCGGTGTTTCGTTGGTTCGAATCCCGGGTGCGGACATGGCACTGCTCATCAAGCCATGCTGAGGCAGCATCCCACATACCACAACTAGAAGGACCCACAACGAAGAATATACAACTATGTACTGGGGGGCTTTGGGGAGAAACAGGAAAAAAATAAAATCTTCAAAAAAAATTATAAATGCCTAACAAAGTCATGAAAATAGATTAGCTCACTAGGCCCAAGATATAGAATGAAAATATTCATACTTATTAACGTGCAACATGTCTATGTTGCTTTCCTAATGCTTTTAATGAGGCATATTCTGGTGGGAAAGGCCAAGTGGGTGCTTCTTGATCTGTTCCCCAACAAAGATAGTAACCCACAAATAACCCCTTATCCGTGGAGGAACTGCAGAGATGAGTTCTATTATCAAAGACCTGAGATGTATGGGGGCATTTTTTATTCACCTTCTTCTTTAATTTGCATGTTTGTTTCTAAAAAAAACTATGGACAGTGAATTTAGAATATCATGAACTTAAAGAGGTTGGGGTGTCTATTATAGCTGTTTTCCAAATGTGGAATCATTACTGGGGCATATGAACAAGGCTTGTGGTGTCTGGTGTACTTCTTACACAAGAGAACACATATTCTTCTCAGGCACACATTTCCCTGGGCTAGATCATATGCTTGCCATACAGAACGCCTCATAAATTTAAAACGCTAGGAATTTTAAAATTTAAAATACAAACTAAGATCTCTGACCACAATGGAATGAAATTAGAAATGACTATCTCGGGAAACTTCGGGCAAATTCACGTTTTTAAGAAATTAAACAAGACACTCTGAAATAACCATTGGGTGAAATAAATCAGTAAGGAAATTAGAAAACATTGTTAATGAATGAAAACGAGGACATAATATACCAAAGGTTATGGGCTGCATCAAAAATACTATGTGGATAAAAATTATACCCATAGGGGCCAGCCCAGTGGTACAGCGGTTAAGTGTGCACGTTCTGCTTCGATGGCCTGTGGTTTGCCAGTTTGGATCCCGGGTGTGGACATGGCACTGCTTGCAGGCCATGCTGTGGTAGGTGTCCCACATATAAAAAGTAGATGATGATGGGCACAGATGTTAGCTCAGGGCCAATCTTCCTCAGCAAAAAGAGGGAATGTAAATTGGTTCAGCCACTATGGAAAACAGTATGGTGGTTCTTCAAAAAATTAAAATAAACCCACCATGTGATTCAGCAATTTCACTTCTGGAGATTTATCCAAAGAAAGGAAAAATGCTAACTCAAAAAGATCATTTTGCATTTTTGGAAATTAAAAGGAATCAGGTGAGGTTTGGAGTGGATTGGATATTCAGATATTGCAAATCTTTAATAAATGAGCAAAGACCTTGGAGTGATACCATCTTTTTCCTTTTTCTTTATTACTCCATAACCAAGAGAGGCAAGAAAAAACAGTGAACTCTAAAAATAAATCAATAAATCAATAAAAGGGAAAATAGCCCATGTTCATGGATCCTTAGATTTAACATTGTTGAGATGACAATACTTCCTAGAATGATTGGATTTTCAACACACTCCCTCTCAGAATCTTACCTGACTTCTTTATAGAAAATGGCAAGCTGATAAATTGTATGTAACTGCAGGCAAATCAGGATCATTGAACCAATCTTGGAAAAGTAAGACCAAGTAATAAGATGAACATTTCCCTATTTAAAATCTGACTACTCGCACGGTAATCCAGGTAATATGATAATGACACAAGGACAGACACACAGATCAACCAGTTTGATTGAGATTCCAAATATAAACCCATTCATCTATGGTCAACTGATTTTCAAAAATGGCACCAAGAATGAGGAAAGAATATTTCAAAAATTGGTGCTGGACAACTGGATAGGAACAGGCAGAAGAAGGAAGTTGGACCCTTACATTATACCACACACGATAATTTACCAAAATAGATCAAAGACCTAAACCAGACGTAAAACAATAGTACTCAGAAAAAACAAAGAGGAAAATATGACCTTGGATTTGGCAAAGGATTATGAGTTATAACACCAAAAATAAAAACACTAAAAACATAGATAATTTGAATTTCACCAAAATTAATCACTTTTGTGCTTCAAAGGACACCATCAAGGAAGTGAAAACAGCCATGGGAACCCCTGTGCATTTCTGGTGGGAAAGCAAAATCATGATGCTATTGTGGAATACAGTGTAGCATTTTTTTCAAATATTACAGCAAGTGTTACCATATGATCCAGCATTTCCATTTGTGAGTATATACCCAGAATTCAAAACATGGACTCAAACAGCACACCTGTGTTCATAGGAGCATTATTCATAGTAGCGAAAAAGTGGAAGCAACCCAAGTGTTCATCAAGAGACGAATGGATCAACAAAACACAAATACACATAGAACAGAACATTATTCAGCTTTAAAAAGACATGACATTCTGACACATTCTACAACATGAGTGAAATGTGTGGTCATCATGCTAAGTGAAACAGGGCCATCATAAAAAGGACAAAAACTGTATGATTCCACTGATAGGAGGTATCTAGAGTAGTCATATTCATAGAGACATCAGGACAGTGGTTGTCAGGGCCTGGAGGGCAAGGGCAAGTGGGCATTGTTGTTTAATACACAAAGAGTTGCAGTTTTGCAGGATGAAAAGTGTTCTGGAGATTGGTTTCACAATGTCAATGTACTTCACACTACTGAACTATACACTTAATATGTATAAGATGTAACTTTGATGGAATAAATATAGAAGGTAATCAAATGGTACACATTTCGTATTATAACATAAATAAGCCATGAGGATGTAATGTATAGCATGGTGACTACAGTTAATAATACTGAATTGTATATTTAAAATTTGCTAAGACAGTAGATTTTAAAAGTTCTCAGCACAAGAAAAAAAATTGTAACTCTGTATGGTAATGGCTGTTGACTAGACTTATTGTGGTACACCTGAAATGAATATAATGTCACTTATCAATTGTATCTCAATTAAAAAAAAATGAAGTATGGATACATGTTACAACATGGAATTCCCCGAAAAAATTGTACCAAATGAATGAAGTCAACACAAACACCACGCATTATACAATTTCATTCATACAAAAGTCAGCAAATATGGAAATTTATAGACACAGAAAATAGATTAGTGCTCATCTAGGGCTGGCACTTGGGGGAGCTGGGTGGGAAGATAGGGCAGCGAGAGGTAAGGGTATAGAGGTTTCTTTTTAGGTGATGGAAATGTTCTGAAATTGACTGCAGTGATGATTGCACATACTCTAAATATACTGAAGACCAGTGAGTTGTTAACATTAAAGACTCTATTGTATTGTATGTGTATTGTTTCTCAAAAAAACCCACAACGGTTCAAATAAGTGGGTAAATACACTGTTTTGCAATGCAAAAGAGGTTTACATCCCAATCTCTTACTCATATGAATATTTTCCAGCACATCCCACATTTACATAACCTTTTCTTGTTTTTCAGTTACATCAGTCCAAATAGAAATTGAATTTCCTTAGGGATATTATAGCCTTTTCCATTTCAAAGTTCTCTCACGATACATTCAAAAAACGATCTAAAATAAATTTCCCTCCAGTGTAAAACGTATACCTGAGAATTGAATGAACACATCTCATAGCTTGTGATTAGACTGAGAAGAGGCCTTGCGCCCAGCTAGGGACGCGGGCTCCAACTTCCCACCAGGGCTCAGGGCTTGGGAGGCCACAGGATTTTTTTAAAGTATGATATCAGCGGATGTGGGGAAGCGCTGGGTGGAAGATCAAAGGTCAGACTGGAGACATTAATTATTACATACGGGGAGGTGATTTTAAGTGTGTTTTCAAAGAAGGGTCGTAGTTCCCCGAGTGGCCTCGTAGCATTCCATTTTAGCGGAAAAGTCCCCAGAGAGGACAATTTCTAGCTCTGGGTTGGCTCAGACACGTAATCTCCATCTCGCTGTCACTCAGGACGGAGGGGCCTTTTGAACCGTCCAATCAGGGTCGGCTTCGGGGCAAGTGGGCGGGGCGACGCGCGGCAACAACCCCTGACTTCCTGTAGCTCCACAGTGCTTCCGGTCTCCGGTCGCCTGCCTTTGCAGGCCCCACGTTGCTCTGCCGCTAACCGTGTCGCGCTGTGAGTGACCTGTACCGAGTCGTAAGAAGGTCGGCGGGGGACCCAGGAAACTCAGCAATGGTGAGCGTTCTGGCCGGGGCTTCGCAGACACGGAGGTTCCGAGGCGCTGGTGGGAAGCGGCGGGGCGGGCCCGGCCTCCCGCGGTCCCCTCCGGGGTCTGCGGCCCCGAGTCCGCGGTGGCGCCGCTCGGCCCTCAGGCCTTTCCGGCCGCAGCGTGGGGGCGGGGCTGGCAGTCTGGCCCCGGGCGTCCTGTGGTCCCTGCGCGCGGTGACTGGGGCCTGATCGTCTCTGGGCCGCTGTGCGCCCGCAGCCCCGCGTGTCCCAGACGGTGCGGGGCCCGCGGGAGGGCCCGCAGGACAGTCGGGCCTCGGGCTCCGGGGTCCGTGCGCGGAGGGGCTGCGGTCTGTGGGTCCCCAGGGCCTCCTTTCTCCTCGGAGGGGACTCGTTTTCTTCTAAGTTTTCTGAATGTTTGGGGAGCAGGGTCTCAAATCCGCAACCCTGTCCCCCTAGCTCTTCCCAGGAGTGACAATAAATCCCTGAATTTCCAGATCCCTGCTCGCATTCCCAAACGCCAACTTCCTGGCTCTGATTCACAGCATCGTAATCAACTAGAAACAGGCCCAATATTTTATTTATCATTTTTCCATAGTGAATGGGTGGCCCTTTTAAAAGAATTTGTTTCTTGTTTCTGGATGTTTTACATGAGAAAAAAGTAGCGAATGGCTATCCGGAAATTCCTTGTATGAACTCCTTCCGCCTCTCCTCCCAGGATGTGTCCTGGGCACAGACGTTCAATCCTAAGTCCTTTGCTGGAGGTGCCTCTTGGCAAACTTTTCCGGGTGATCTGTCTTGTCAGCACTGCCCCTGTTTGGGTTTGTTCTGTTAAATGGTATGTTCACTTTCTTATAGTCTCAGCTTTTCAATGAAAATAAATTTATTTAATCAATGCAGCTTGAAAGACAATATGAAACTTTTCCAAACAGGAAAGAAAGGGGTGTATTTCGGAAAAAAAAATAAAACATTCCAGTAGTTCATTGCATGATTTAAAAACTCGATTTTTTTTTCTCCCCCAACATGTTAGTAATATTCTGAGGACTGTTCTTTTGTTTTGGCTGAGTTCCAGTGGATTTCCAGGGCTGAGACTGGCAGACTTGAAGTGCTCAAGTATGAGTAATATTTTGTAAAACAATTTCTTTTTATGGAAATAATTAACATTGATTTCCTGGAATGCAGTACATTCTTGTAGGGTTTCCTGTTGAGCCAGCAGCATGCTATACAATTTTCTTCCCTCATTTCCACATAAAGACTGGTGTGAGTGTTTGAGCTGCGTTGTTCAAACACTGGATTTGTGTCATTTAAGGTATCAATGATGGTCCAAAAAAACTCCAGTGGAGGCAGAGGCCTGAGGTCGGTGTCTCTAAGCTGAGGCCCCCTTGGGCCTGCAGAGGGAAGGCCTTGCAGGCCCAGTTGTCCTTCCTGAGGAGCCTCCCCCTTCAGGTGTCCTGCTGCTCACACCCCCATGGAAGGAGCCTTTATCCTGAGAGGAGCTGCAGAGCCCTGGAAAGCTGGGGGTGCACGTGCTCATGGGGTGGGGAGTGATGCCCTTTCTGAGGTTGTTGCTGTGGTTCCCTTGGGCCTGTTTCTAGACATAATTGGAGTTTTGCATCCACAGTGTAGGTGTGCTCAGAGAGTAATTTGTTTACACAGAGAAAGTCTGTGAGAGTCAGGAGCTCTGTGTCCTGGATTAGGGCCCATTAATCTGGGGGTCCATTTGGGTCAGAACCTTAAACTGAATCCAGCTGAGTTTCCTCACTGTGAGAATGGGAGCCTGAGAGAGGGAGCGTGTGCACTGTTCCCTGGGGAGAGGAGGGTGTGTGGGGCTCCCAGAGCTCCTTCCTGTGGCTGCTCAGGTGCCCTCCCCTCCTTCTCCAGGAACTGACCCCCTCCAGGGTTCTGTCTCCACCAGGAGAGTCAGGAACATGGGACCTTCTGACTGTGGCTTTCCTTCTGTCCTGTGGGAAGCAGGCTGCTCCTCTGAGCTGATTCCAGTGTTTGTGTTTCTTCCCTTTGGATTCCTTTATCGATGGAATAGGGCAGCCCTTTGGCTCTAGTTTCCCTTAGCACTTGGGCCCTGAAACTGAGTTGATGGAGAGATAGAATGTAAGGAAAGCAAAAAAAAATTGTGGCACCAAATACAAATTTTGTTCCTTTTAGGCAAGAGAACCTAAGATGTTTGATAAATGTATTAACTTTTTCAGCACATTTTCCTTTTTTAGATCAGTTTTTTCTATGTGCCTGTGTCTAGAGAACATAGAATTTTAAAAGGCTAAACTGATTGAATTTCTATTTTGATTGATGTGAGAAAACTTCTGAAAGCTTATGTTAATCTTTGAAAACCCAATACAGTTTAGGGTTAAACACAAACCCCTATTGCAGTAAAATATACTGCTTACTCCTGAAAATACCCCAGTGTGAGATATAAGGGAAGGACAGACTAGGATTTGAAAATTTTCATTTTGTGGTTTTCACTTTTCTAACTGTTAGTGTTTAAAGGAATTAAATCCTACAGTAGTGTCCTATGTACAGAAGTTAAAAGTAAATAAGTGTTATGGGCTGGCCCGGTGGCGCAGCGGTTAAGTTCACATGTTCTGCATCTCTGTGGCCCAGGGTTCGCTGGTTCGCATCCCGGGTGCAGACATGGCACCGCTTGGCACACCATGCTGTGGTAGGCGTCCCACATATAAAGTAGAGGAAGATGGGCGTGATGTTAGCTCAGGGCCAGCCTTCCTCAGCAAAAAGAGGAGGACTGGCAGTAGTTAGCTCAGGGCTACTCTTCCTCAAAAAAAACAAAACGGCTCTCCTTTGGGGCTGGCCCCGTGGCCGAGCGGTTAAGTTCGCGCGCTTTGCTGCAGGCGGCCCAGTGTTTCGTTGGTTCGAATCCTGGGCGCGGACATGGCACTGCTCATCAAACCACGCTGAGGCAGTATCCCACATGCCACAACTAGAAGGACCCACAGTGAAGAATATACAATTATGTACTGGGGGGCTTTGGGGAGAAACAGGAAAAAAATAAAATCTTAAAAAAAAAGTAAATAAGTGTTAACAAAATGTAGTTTCTCTGTTTTTTAAAAATAAATAAAGCAAAGTCTAACTTAACACTCATGGCCAACATATCCTGGTACCCCCCTCCAGCGCTGTTATTCACGTCATCCCCAGATACACAGTTTTGATTATTTTTTGATCTTCCTGTTATTATTTCTTTGTATAAAAACAAGCTGTTGCAAATTCATATATTTTTACTCATGTTTGTCCTATTAATAACGAGTCAGAATCCACAGTTTTGATGTTTGAGTGCTCACAGCTTAAGCCTCACTCACCCTCTTCCCCTTGTGCCCCAACCTGGACAAGCTGAGGAGGAAGCCTGGGTGCTCTCTCCTCTAGTGCAGGCAGGAGATTCCCACCCCAGCCCCTGCCTGTGTGCAGAGCTCTTGCCCAGGCCCCACCCCCAGGCCCAGTGAAGCCCCAGGCCAGACTCCATTCCTTGCTTTCTGAGCCGTGTGAGAGCTGCTTGAGAGGCCGGCCCTGCCCTCCCCTCAGACCTCTCTTATGTGAGTCCTGAGCCTTTTCCTATCCTGTCTGTGTGTGTGTGTGCCACCCTGGCATCAGTCTCAACAAGGGAACCACCCCTCTGCAGGTGACCATAACAGTTGGCACCCTGAGCAGCATGTCCAGACGTGACCCCGTCTGTCTTCTCTTGCTCTGACTTGCTCTCCTGCTCTGCTGCCTGGTGGCGGCATGCGCCGTGGGCTACTGCTCGCTGGGGAGCTGGGCTGTGAGCTGTGCTGCCCCATGTTGCATTGTTGACTCTCAAAGCCTCTGTTCTAGGTTCAGCTGACCAGAGTTGGGAAGTTCAAGAATTTATAGGCATTTGGGAGCAGGATTATGGGATTGGGGTCTTTTTTTTTTTTCTTAAAGATTGGCACCTGAACTAACAACTGTTGCCAATCTTCTTTTTTCTTTCTTTTTTTTTTTCTTTCTGCTTTTTCTCCTCAAATCTCCCCAGTACATAGTTGTATATTTTAGTTGTGGGTCCTTCTAGTTGTGACACTTGGGGTGCCAGCTCATCGTGGCCTAATGAGTGGTGCCATGTCCGCACCCAGAATCCGAACCAGCGAAACCCTGGGCCGCCAGTGGCGGAGCGGGCGAACTTAACCACTCAGCCATGGGGCCGGCCCCTTAGGGTCTCTTTAAAGAGGTCCTGTTTTGTGTCTGCTGGGATTAATCTGTGTGTTAGAGTGAAGCTGTGACAGAGGCTGCTTTGGCCCCAAGCTGCCCCAGGGATGGGTGTGGCACAGGGGGACTACAGCCAGTGCAAGAAGAGGGCCCATCAATGGTCACTCCTGAAACAGCTGCCATTTAAAAAGAGAAAGAGAAGGAGAAGGGCAGCCAGTAGATGGAAGGTGCAGTCCACACTCCTAAGGCCAGAGGGCTCACCTGGACCCTTAAGTACCTCTGCTGCTCTCCCTGCATCTACTGGAGAAAGAACCTGACCCTTGGGGTTTTAGGAGACAACACGCATGGCACCACTATGACACAGCAAAGGGATTAGTTCAAATCTGGCTTAAATCCAGGGACCTTAAACTCACTACAACATCCAGTAGTCATGGGGGAGGCTCCTAAAGTTAATGACACTGGGAAGAAAACATATATAAATACCAGGATAGATAGGATGCCTTTCCCCCAAAGTATATCCGATGACCAAAAAAACCCAAAACAAAACAGGGAAGGACAAGAGGGAGGGGACAAAAGAGACACCTATTGAAAGAAAGGTCCACAGTTTGAACCAATTTGAAATCCAAAATATACTAAAAGAATTTACATTACAAAACAGATAAGAGGTACACTGCTTGTCTTCTGGGCCTCTACTGCATAGCTTCTGAATTAATTTTGCTCTCTGATGTAATGTACAAATTCAGAAACCTTCAAGCAGTTAATCGATCCTAGTTGGAATTTTAGAGTTATATCTGGGATCCCATTAAATTTAAGGAAGGTGCCCCTGA